CGTTCCCTGAGGTAGGTCTTGCCCTATTCTCTAGTGAGCTGTGTGGTCGGTGTTGCACCCTTCTTACCGTGGCATGGTCTATGTCTTTGGGTTTAAGCCCAACGTGTTGGGAGTTGGTTGGAAGCCCCATCCTCACCTCTTTTGCTTTCCTTCACAGGAATTGGATACGCCTCACAAGTCATCGAGTGCTATCTGAATATCTACTACATCATCATCCTGTCCTGGGCACTCTTCTACCTGTTCAGCTCCTTCACCGCAGTGCTACCATGGGCCAGCTGCAATAACCCCTGGAACTCAGGTATGCCTTCCCTTGGTCGGGTCCTAGCTCCTTCCCGATTCCCAGAAATTATTTGGGTTTTGTAGGAAATATTTCTTATTCAGATAAAATGAGCTGCAATGTGGCTAGGGACTCCTGCAAAGGCGACTGTCTTCATTCACCATGGGTAAGCATCAGGAAGGGTGAGTGGTATGACCCTATGACTAGCGGCAGGGGACAGTAAAACTATTTCCACATGGAGACGTTTTGGGTGTTGAGATTTCACTGAAAAAATCCTCATTTTCTGGCAAGCGGGGGAGGTGGGTGGGTTGGGAGAGTTTTCAAGCCAATCTAGAGTCCTCCTCACCTGGCAGGAGCTTTTCATTAGCTCTGGTACAACAGTTTGTCTCCCAATTCCCCTGCTCTACCCCACTACTTTGGAGTTACTGGGCCAGTTGCAAGTTTCCTTTGTGCACTCAGCTTTTGGCTAAATCAGGCCAGTCCTGCTCTGGAAGATTTTGCCAGTACAGGTCTCCCAGTGCAGGAACCAGTAACACAGAACTCTAAAGGCACTGTTTTTCTGGTCTAATCGCGTCCATGCAAGCCTCTCTACCATTACAGTTGCCAGGGGTCTTATACCCTCATGCCCACAGTTCACGTAACTGTGCCCAGCAGAGAAGACCGGGCTTTGGTTTTATTCAAGGCACTTGGGCTGTGCCTGGCAAGGTGGGGTAGATGTGAGGAAACCGTCATGGATCTGATGTCCTTGACAGGCCTTTTTTACCACGTTGACAGGTTGTTTTGCTTGCAGTGGAAAGCCAGGCTGGAAAGGGCTTTGGCAGCAGCTCGGTTCCCTCCCTTTTTCTCTTGGGTCAGATGATTCATTTCTGTGATGTGTTAAATTTCTCCACCCCATGGGCCATTCACTCACAACTTCCTTTGCCCCTTCATCTCAGCAGAGGTAACCAGCTTTTTAAAGAATGGATCTGATTCCTTCAGCTCCCCCAGCATGGGTTTGTTTGTGAGGAAAGCCACAGATGTTCTCTTAACAGGCAGAAGCTTCCCAGCCAGAGCTGGGGCTTCCTCAGTTTTCTGGTGCATTTGTCTTTTGCTTGCCAAATGCAAGAGGAGATGCATTTCTTGGATGTATGGCATCTCCTCTGTTTTTAGTAATTTCATGCTATGTGACAGGGTTGGGGATGGCAGAGTGGAACATGAAGGCATCTGCGGCATGTGTGAACATACGCGTGCATGTGTGGACATGGAATGGTGCATGGTGTGGGAGGAGAATAGGATTTTCTATCCTGGCTACTCATAGTGGCTATCCCCCAATAATCTATGTTTTGCAGCCATCTGGTGTCCATTTGGCAGGGAATTGCTCTCTCCTTCCCCTCTCCCCTTCCTGAAGCCCTCTGGCCACTGCTGGATTACGATTCATAGGTGGGGAGAGCCAGAGTTTAATGACATGGTTAATGAGCTGCAAGAGTTTAATGAGATGCTCTATAGCACGGGGTGAAGGGTCTGTGTGCTGCCAGAGTGAGGGTTAAGGTACAGAGGGGAAAGAGCATCCCTCATGGAGGAGCCTTGGAGAATTTCTCTGGCTCATCAGCTTCCTTTTCTTTTGGTAGATCTCTGTGTGGACATTCTGAATAGCTCCAGCTTGGACAACAGGACCTTGCCTGCGAACGCCACCTCCCCAATGATTGAGTTTTGGGAGTATGTGATCACTTTCCCTCTGTTCAGGCTCCTCTGTCATCCAAAGGCTGCAGCTGTAGGAGCGTCTGGGGGGAGCGCGGTGCACCTCTGTAGGACCAAGCGAGGTGCCACATGTGGGACCTGAACATGGGGAGCACAATGCACCGAGCTGCCAAGGAGATCAGCACAGAGCCCAGGGGCACGAGGACTAGATACTGCCCAAAGGCTGCTCGCAGAGTGCCTGCCCAGGGGTGCTCGTGTGCACACACGCACAGGCAGCTTCCCTGTCTGGCACTGAGGTGCCTGGGTGAGCATGGCCACAGAAAAGGGCACCAAAAGGAGATAAGGGCTTGCTGTAAGCAGGGGGCACTCATGTTGGCTCTTGCAGGCTACTGTTGGTCAGGGCAGACTGAACAGTCCTCTTACAGTGAAACAGAAAGGGACAAAACTGCCTTTTCCCTTCTGCTGACCATGTCTTGCCTGGTGCCTAAAGGAAGGGGTCCATCAGGCTGCTCAGGCTCATCCCTGGAGAGCAGGGATCTGCTGCACGTGAGTGAGATGCCAGAGAGGGGCCTGGGGAGGTTTAGTCATGGGGCTGGAGGCCACAAAACACCTCTGAAAGAGGGGTCCTACAGCAGGCCAAACAGTGTCCCAGAGGGGGTCATCACTGCAGCGTGGAGAGGCTGAAATGGCTGTAGGGGACTCACTGCCTCTCCACACTCAGCTGAGGAAAGTTTCATAAAGAAGAGGGGTGCCAGGGGCTCAGCTTCAGCAGCATTTTGCTTTTTCATTTATGGTTCTTGAAGTGCCTCTGAAAGGGTTGCGTGTCCTTTGTCCCTTGCAGCCACCACAGGGCACAGAGAAGATGAGATGCACCCATGGGTGCAGAAAGTCCACACAGTGCCATACCCCCTCTCCTGCCCTATTCTTTGCACATACTGTTTAGCGAGAGCTGTGACCCCTCTGAAATGGTTCTTCATGTTTTCTGCACAGGTTGCAAGGGCAAGGGGGGCCCCAAGGGGGATGGTTTGGGGGAAGATGTGTAGAGGAATTGTAAGTGTGGGGTTGGGCTGCTGGGACTGAATGAGCTGCTGACCTGACCTCTTGTATGGCTCACCTTCATGATGGTGAGTCTTCAGGGAATGAGGCTGAAGGAAGGGCATAGGAATCATAAAGGCCATTTATGCTTATATAGAGGGTGCCAATAGCGTATGGGGAGGCCAGAGGAGGAGCAGCGGCCATGGGGTGATGATGGCATTGGTGGCTTGCTTTGGATTGAGTAGTGTCTGCTGGGCAGCTGCCAGGGATGGGGAGCAGTGTGGGACAAGTGGCAGTTTTGTGCTGCATGGGTCCGATGGGCACGGCACCATGGGCTGGGAGGGTGGGAGGGCTCAGGCCAGCTACAGGGCACAGTGGAGCAGTGGGAACAACAGAGAGGGGGGCCCTGGGCAGAGCTGGGGTGACTTGTGGCTGGGAGCCCTGGGCAGATGTGTTGTGGGGAGTCTCTTAAGTCTTTGAAGGGGGTAATGTGGGAAAGGTCTGCATGGATGGGTGAGGTCTGGGGTGTTAATGCTTCTCTCCCTGTCCCTGGACACCGGCAGGAAGCGAGTCCTGGGGCTCACGGATGGTATTCACAAACTGGGCACTGTGCGCTGGGAGCTGGCTCTGTGTCTCCTGCTGGCGTGGATCATCTGCTACTTCTGCATCTGGAAAGGGGTCAAGTCCACAGGCAAAGTAGGAATGGAGATTGTCCTCCTAGTCCATAAGCCTCCTTGTACCCATCTTACATTTCTTCCCCAATCTCTTTTCTCTCTTTGTGAAGTAGAGGCAGGAGGCACACAGCACCAAAGTCAAACCTAAAACCTCGTGGGACTATACTGATTTACACCGTTTGTGTTTGACCTGTAAGAGGAAGAATTAAAGAGCAGGTCAAACAGGGAGGAGAGAACAGAGAAAGAACCTAGAACTGAGGGGCGTCTTGGGTCACCTTTCCCCTTGCAGATACACCCACTGGCTGATGGATACACCCTAAGTGCCCTTGGGAACCATCCACTCAGCACTGTGTTGTCCTGGTGTGGCTTCCTGGTGTTTTTAACAAGATCCTCTGCAGTGGCAAACTTCCTATCCCTGGCAATAATTAAACTCTTGAGCAAAACAGATAAGCTGCTGCCTGTAACCAGGCAGTGAATAGATAATTGATCTCTCCTGCTTCTTTATCCTGCACAATACTTGGGGTGGGAGAGGTGTCTTTGTGCTTTCCTTCGCATTCTCTCTGGCTCTGCATTTTTTTGTCTCAGTGGGTCACTTCTTGCAGTTTACTAGTGAGGCTGGAGCCAATGCTGCCTCCTGATGTTGATCCCATAGATCAGGTGGACTGGTTATCCCTCTGGAGTGAATGAGTGTGTGATGCCTTGGGGTGGCCATTAGGGATGCTACGGCCTTGACTTGTTCAGGACCTCCTTCCTCCCTGGACCTGCGATGAGACAAGTGGGCTACTAACGATGGTTGAGCCTTGTGGGCATCCAGGAGATGTCCCAATAGCAAAGGGAGGGGAACCAATTTCTGCAATGGTCTTCTTCCTTCAAAGCACTATCCCTAATATTGGCAGATGTTCCCAGTAGTACTGGACACCTGTGTTTCAATGTCAGATCCCATCTCCCACCTTAAAACTGCACTGGGCACCCATTTCTAACAGAGCAAGGCGACAGTTTGCTCTGCTTGCTAGGCTTTTCCCCGTCTTTGCCGTTGGCT